TTTGAAATTTAGGAGGTAGCCAAGGAAATACACTGTCATCTGCTTGATCTCTGGAGGCCTGTGTGAAATTAGTAGGGGAGCTGGAATGTGTTGCTGCAATAACTGTTCCTACCAGAAATGGAGACCTTGTGACTGAAGAAGCTGGGAAGGGCAGGATTTCTTGCTGTGCTGGTTTCTGCACCGGGACCCGGGCAGCAGGTGAGTAGCAGCTTTCCTCGCCTCCTGGCCAGGGAGAGCACTGGGATCCACTGGGACCYGTGCCTGTTGACAGGACAGTGATCTGCTGTGACCGAGAGCTTTCCTTCTAGTGATTCATGTGGCACCTCTGGCATTGAACATGAGCTGTATCTGATGTCCCAGCAGGTAGGTGAGAGTGATTGAGAAGGATGAGGTGCTTCCAACAGCCCTAAATGAAGCGTACAACACCATCTTGCTCTTGTAACTCCTTTGGCCCTTCCCAGGGAATGGAGCAAGACCTCGTAGATTTTTCCCTATTCTACATAGATTGACAGCAAAAACCACAGTTGTGTTTTTATCTAGGACTTGGTAGGCAGATGAGAGCAATGGGTTTTCCTCCTAAATGACTGTTTSAAATCTCTATTTAATTAGGTTATACTTTGAGACATGTTTCTTTTCCAAGCTGTTGTCAGCAAAAGGTAAAAGGCTGTAATTGTGAAACATCCTGTAGGAAGCTGAAACTCGCTGGAATGTCATGGGGCTCAGTGACTTTAACAATGAGATAAATAGGGAGCTACATTGCCCTGAGAGGCGCTCAACTGTGCCAGACCAGGCCATCCAGGAGGTGTTGATTCATAGCTCACTGGGGTGCAATAGATTACAGAGCTGTTCTACATGACTGTTCCATCAGTGATGGGAAAGTTCAGCAGAAATACAGCGACTTTTAAGTGCCCTTGGAGAGAGGTGTGAACGAAGCTATTGTACATGAATTCATCTTTTAGTTTTCCTACTCTGATAATATATCATCTCTGAAAATGGGATATTCTGCTGATCCTTTCTAGTGAACACCACTTCCTTGCTTTTTCTTTTGGCAAGTTTCATTAATGTTGGCAAATACTTTGAAAATATTCAGCATGTAACAATGCGAGAATGAAACATTTACCAAAGTTTTTGAACTCAGTATTCACTGATGTGAAGATCTGTGAACCTGTCAATAAATTGAGGATGTTCTGGTAAAGTAATTGTTTGGTGAAGTAATTTGCAAGCACCACTCATAGTTGCTTCTAAGGGCTGCAAAGGATTTTACAGATACCATGGAATTTAAAGTTTTTGCCAAGATTTATGTGATTGCATCTTTTGTTCAGATAGAGAACTTGAGGCAATAAGATGTGAGATRACTTGAACGTGGTCCCACAGAAGTGCAGGGACAGAGCCAGAAAGAGCTTACCTGGTTTCTAGCTCCTTGGAAAACTTTTGCACCTCGTGTTTGTTCTATTTTGCAACTGCTCCAAGTTTCATGTTGTCTTGTCCTCCTATTATGCAGATGATTTGTATATATGGAATTTTCAGGTCTTCTCTCGGTCACACTTTCCATTATTATTAACTGATCCACGTTTATGCATTTTATTTATTTTTCTCATTTAAAAAGCAATTTTCACAATTGGAGCCAACATTATAGTGTAGGGTACCAGTGAATTAGGAAAGGTCCCTAACCGATTAATTAATGATTATTATGGAGTGTTTAAAAAACACCTTTCATGACAAATTTTTGCAGATACAGACATTACAGCAGATCTCTGACCTTTCTTACAGGGTAATGTAATGCAAATTGAATTAAATACTGGTCTTTTCTTGAAAGAAACGATATTCTGCAGAATATCCACCAGATGGAGCTGATGATACTAAAAATCAAGTATTATTCGTAGCAAAACTAAGTCAGTAAATGGTGGAGGTGGTAAGTATTTACCTTTGAAAGTACCAAAGAAAAATGGCACTCTGAGAGATTTATTTGACATTTCGAAGTGGAACTTGTAATGCTGTAAATGAGAGACCAGCTATATCAGCAGTGGAATTTCGTAGACCTGAAAGCTGCTATGAGGGAGAGAAATGAATTGCTATTGCTTGGTCCACCTTGGCAGCAGTGAAGCATGGTTGGAAGCCTGGCTTTGTTTTTTAATGTGTTTAGCATTAGCTCGTTTCCAGCTCACCTGCTGCTCCAGTCCCCCTTGTTTACCCATGTTGGGAGGAAGGTTTTGTCACCAGTTTTACATCCTGCCTTGAAGCAGGAAGCAGAAATAAGCTGCTTTCAGAGCTGAAAAAAGGAGTGTAACAAATAATGAATTTGTGACATTTTAGTTGAAAAGGGGAAACTCTAGCTCTTTTGTCATAGAATTCTTTCCTCATTGAAGTCTATATCAAAAGATTTTGGGGTTTAAAATGATGAAGGCGATGCTCATGGATGTCTGTAGCTATGATGTGTGATGTCCAGGTCTCCTGCATGAGCCACGCTTTGAAGGAGGGCCCGCGAGCAGCTGCTGTAGTGCRGAGTAAATTACCTATGGTAATGTAATATCTATTTTCAGCATTCAGACTGAACCAGAGCACTGTTWTAGAGCTTTACTTACTTTCAGTGCCGCTAAAGCAGTTGTGCAGTTTCATATATATACAATACCTTTTTTCTTCTTTGTCATAAAGACATCAAACTGCATGTGATGCAGTAGGGAGGAGGAGACACTGTCCTGTTTTCAATTTGCCCTTTTCTAGAACAGAAATCATGCTTTACTATCTCTCTCATACTATCAGTAGAGCCTTTGTATATGGAGTAAATCACTGTACATGAGACAGTGACATGCAGTAAGTTATCTAGGCCTTGATTTTTAAAAATGCCCATTAGCTGTGATCCAGTTCCTCACAAATGACCCTGAGCTAAAATAAGCCTTACATCCTGGTTAGGGATGTAACAAGAAGGACTTTTCAAAACAGAAGCATATAAAGCTTCTGTTTTGAAAAGTCCTTTGAGGCAACAAGAATCTGAACCGAGTGCTGCAGCCCTTATTTGCTTTTTTAGGAGTCAGTTGTTTAGAATCTCATGGAATTGGGGCAGGAGCTGTTGAGCTGAGCAATCAAAATCAGTGCGTTCCTTATCAATATTTGAACTTGAACCAAGTATGCCATTCCTCATCTGTAAAGTGCTGAGTTAGCTTTCTGTTATTAGTTGTGTGGGGGTAATCTTTATGAAGAAAGGGAGCCCAGATAGAAATGATTTTGATATGCAAAGTATAGGCCTTTTTATGGCGGACATTATTTAATCCTTATCTCAAAYGTGGTCTCCCTTTGCCATTAGCAATGCATGTGTAATGAATGGATGAGGAAATATGTGATCCAGCACAGAGCTGGGAGGGGCCCTGTTGTGTTTTTTTCCCTACTAATCAACACTGCGGTCAGTGCTGCATGTGCATGCACACCCATCCACCCACACAAAATGTTGAGATGTTGGTCCGGAGGCCCTTTTTGTATTGCATGAATGTGAACAATTCAGCGTCTTTGTGCATTTGTTGCTCCCTCATTTTATTTGTTACACAGATGAGATTGCCTTTTTGCTTCTAAGGGTATCGAAGTTTAGCCTTTTAATGCTGTTAGTTATTTGAGTCTTAAGATGAAAGTGCTATAGGAATACATGCTAAAATCTTAGGTACCAAAATCAAGAAAAGAAAGAGCTCGTCCAGCTTTTTAAATTAGATTAAAAATGAGCTCTTGGCCACTTACGTTAAGTAGAGGTACTTGAGATACTGTTTGAAAGCTTGGAGCATGTGAACGGAGCACACAACACAATACATTTAACTAAGATAGCTGCAAAGCCAGTGTGTCGGTGCAGCCCATCAGAAGAGCAGATGGGGTCCTGGTGAATGGCAAGGCAAAGATGAGTCAGCGGGGAGCTCTTGTAAGGATGAAACTGCACTTAGTGAATTAGCAAGAAGGAAATTATTTTTCTCCTCTCCTTAGTACTCATGACACTATCTGGAGTATTGTCTTGTATTGTGGGGCCCCCAGTACAGGGGAGAGGCAGAAGCACTAGAGTGTTCAGCAGGGAGGCGTTAGGATAATGAGGGTGAGGGAGCAGCTGATCTCCAAGCAGAGGCTATAAAAGGTGAGTGAGTTTGCTCCCTCTGAAGAGGGAAAGGCCAAGGACAAATCTAGTTTGTCTTCTACGAAAGAAAGGTGTTTTATAGGGAAGACACTAAGACTTATCGAAGGTGCAGAGAGATGGTGGTTGAAAATTTTAGGTGGATGTAAGGACAATATTCCTCACAATGGGTATATTAAACACTGGAACAGCCTGGCCAGAGAGACTAGAATCTCTGTCCTTGGAGATCTTTAGCATTCAGCAGGACAAAGCCCTGAACAACTTGATCTCACTTTGAAGTTGGGTCTGCTTTGAGTGGAGGGTTGGAATAGGTGAGCTCCAGTTGTTCCAACCCTTGTTTTTCTGTGATACTATGAATTTAGGGAAGCTGCCTTTGTCTTGGCGGACAAGATGACAAAGAAAACTGCTAAAAGCCTCCAGGTCATGCTCCTTAGGCAGACTTTGAAAGTGAGGTTACTGAAGTGAGTTTTGTTCTTTAAATTGTTAGTATTTTGACTATTTCCAGTGTGTGAGCCATTAGATGGCAATGCAAGTACCAATTTATTGGCTCACTGGCGTAAGCAGAGGTAATACGTTTACCTTTTCTGTTCTATGGGTCTCGTGATCCACTTAATTTCACACTAAATTTGCTTTATCTTTTTTTGAAAAGGAGAGAGATGATTGCTAGATAAAAGGACTCTTGAGAAAGAAAACTGGAAAAAGCTGAAGGAAAAATTCCATGAAGTATTCTACAGCCTTCCTCTTGGCTTTTAAAGTGTTAAGCCTGAAACTAAATGGCTTTTCTTTTCTACAAATGTCATAGGTCAATTATATACTGATTTTTTTTTTGTTATGTAAATTGTGACACTTTTTATCCAAATCTGCTTTTTCCCTAGGTTGATACAGCATTTCCTGGAGAATATGTAGCTTACAGAAAAAGTCATCAACCTTTCTTCATCAAATACCCCGCAGACAACGGTGCCCAGCAACCTACACTGTGCCCATTCCCATGGTAGGTGATCAACACTGAGCAGTGCTCTGTCTGCTTGTCATTTCAGGGACAGAAACAAAGAGGAATTGTCGAAGTATGTAAAGGCTAAAAGCTATAAGAGAGATAATGTGTTGAAGTACATAACTTGGCGTGAGTTGTCAAAGGAGACTGAAAGCTCCTGTGCTCCTGTTACCAATTTTGCTGAGCACATAGGGTTTTAAACAGAGTTCTGTGAACACAGTGTTCAGTTCCCCAAAAGCTCTTTGTGGCTTGAGTTTGTGGTTGCTCAGAGTGAGGGAAGATGTCAAGCTCTGTATTATAAAATTCTAAAGCTTTTTTGCAAATAACAAAGGTACTTTGCCTGGTAAAGTATCCTACTTCTGAGGAAAAAGAACACATGGTTTTAAAAAGTGTGTATTTTTTTCAGAACTTGAAAAAGTGAAACTTCTGTGCATTGTGCTTAGGGATACATAGCTTTGGATTCTTTTCTTTGATTCATTTGATTTTGATTTCCCACCATAACTTTTATGTCTTGGAAATCATCCATCCTTTGCTGAGGTTACTATTAAGACCACCAATTATAATGCAGAATGTAATGTGAAAAAAAGTTTTGTATTCGGTACCTAATGTCAGCAAATGCTCAAAGGTAGCTCTTGTTAATAGTACTGATTTTAAAACTAAATGGCACCCTGAGTTGACTGCTTCAGGCACCAGTTGTAGTAGAACATGATGATAAACCTAGGTGTTCATAGTTTATGTAACTTTTGATTCCCCAGTGTGTCTCTGACTACCTGAATCTCAACGTCTCTCTGATTGGGTGCTGTTGTACTACCCTGCTGTGGAGCCTTATCACTATTATCACTGCCTGCTATGTAGTTATGTTCATAAATATAGTATTTCTTGTCATTAGATTCTCTCTTTTTTTTTTCTCCGTCTCTTTGTTTTTTTGTGCACCAAGAATAGAGAGACACTCAAAAAAAAAATTCAACACAGATCTTAAGCTTTTGCTAAAAAGGCCCAGTAGACAATTGTTGGGGCAGGAAAAAGTGGTTGTTTTTTTCTAAAAATATTACAGACTCACAGAGTGGTTGAGGTTGGAAGAGTCTGTGGTCTTGCTGTGGGGCATTTGTTTTTCCTTTTTGTTGGTAATGAGACCTAGCAGTTGTTTTCATAGCTTTTTGTTCACGACATAAAAGTAACATACTACTGCTTTGATGTGCCTGAGGCACCACCAGTTCCTCTGAACGCATAGGTGTGTGGCGTGCCAGGGCTGAAAAATGCTCTGTGTGAGAAAGCACAATCACAGTGCTCCTCTTATACCACTAAGCAGCCTGAGCAAGCAGACACTAGCAGTTCTTCAAATTGTTAATGCTAGACCTTGTTATTGCTTGAAGAGGTACGTGAGGCTCACGAATGAGTGTGTATTTATAGTTGTGTTTTCATATTGTTCTTTCAAAACAACCTGCTGCTGTAAGATTATCTGTTTTGGAAAGCAAAGCATTTCATCAGTACCAGGAAATGTCTCTTTTCCTTTAACCAAGTGCTCTTCACTTGCCTCTCCATTATATGTTTCTGAGGTTGTTGTGCAAAACCATTAGAACATAGGCTGAATTCCTGCAGTATTTTGTATATACTCTGGTGGCACAAAAAGAGGTAGGAAGGGGTTAGTTTTTTTAAGAGTTAAAAATGTTAAATGCTTAAACTAGTCCTCTGAAGTGGCCAATTTGTGAAGGGAGTGTATAAAAGACAAATGGGATTAAGTCCTTTTGAAGAGTAATTTTGGCTATTTCCTTGTTTCCAGTTGGGGGGTGGGTAGCAGGTTTATCTTCAAGTAATAGAGTAACAGATGTAACAATAATAGATGGGAAGGATTTGAAGTAATAGGTAACTCATAGTTACCTATTACTAACACAGCTACTCACTGAGTTACCTCACAGTTACTAACATGGTGCAGTGACTTCAGAAGGTCCTGATGTACATTCATGTCTTTAGGCAGGAAAATTTCTTTTGAAGGTGCGGACAGATTTGCTTGCAGGGTCAGTTGCCTGGATGTTCTGGGAGCAAAACCTAACTAATTATGCCCATTTTGAAGTATAGTRCTTTTGGACCTGCAGTTCTGCAGCATCAAGCACAATGCTTTCAGGTTTTGTTCTTAACCTAGCCTTAACTTCCTTCTGGCTAGTATTTTCTAGTCAAAAATAAAATCATTGTTCTTTTCAGACACCTGGTCTCTTTCCTAATTTTTGTTTATTCTCCTCTGTCTACTTTTGCTCTCTCTCCGTATATTTAGGCAGAGTGGTACAAATTGAATTAGGATTTTTGTGAGAATTCATGAAGATAATACAGAGCACGCCATGATTTGCCATAACCCCTATGACTCCTATTTTCTGCCTAACAAGGACCAAACTTGCAAGTCATCCTGTGGGTTGCTGGTTTTGGAAACGTTGCCTCTTTAATCCCCGGGCCTGCTCGGTAGGCAGAGCCACCCCGAGCAGCGACCCTTTAACATTCCACCAAGCCTCTAGCCCCTASTCTGCCGAGGACCATCTGCTCTTTTCATGTGCCTTTCTACTGATACCAGAATAATTTCCATCTGAGCGCCCTGTGCTTTGCACGAATAAAAACCTTTCAGGCTGCTGCTTCTAAAGTAGATTTACCTTCAATCACCATTTATTAAATCTCTGTCCATTAAAAACCATAGCTTGCAGAAGCTGTGTGCATTAAGCCTGATTATAGAGTCGGTAGAGAAGAGGGAGGGGGACAGCACTTTGTATCAGTGTATTGCCTTGTTTTTCTACTTATCTAGCTGGCTGGTAGTACTTGTGACAGGGTGCACATCAGAACAGGAGTCTCGTTTACTTGGCTCTGATTTTGTTTTATGCATCAGTCTCTCTCCTTTTTATTTGTTTAAGCTGTTAACTAAAGGACTGTTGGCTTCAGTAGAAACTGCCCAGGCTGTATGATAAAAATTAGAGTTTTCTGTGGTGGTGAGGTGCTAGATCCCTTATGGAGGGTAAGGGCCAGGGGATTAAGAAAGGAAGAGGAGGCAAATTCACAGGTTCCTTACGGAGGATGAGTGGCTCCTTCAAACGTACTTCATTTAAGGGCTCAGCATCTGGATCACAAAGGGTAAGTCTGCAATCACCCAGCTAGTATGATCAATGGAAATGGTTGGCTTTGTATTTTTAACAGCTGGTACCATTATGAGTAAGAATTATTCTCTCCCTCTGTGCTTGTGTAAGTCTCAAAGAATCTGTCATGTGCAGTGGTCTTAGCAATGAATCATTGCCCTTATGGGACATATGAAGCCTGTCTTAACCCTGTCCACATGAACACTGTCTTAAGAATCTTGGAGATAAATACCACCAGTTACATTATAATTATTTCTATCTGTAATGAAGATCGTATTTTGATGACCAGTGATGCTCAGCATTCATGGCAAATTCAGATGCAAGCACTGAGAAGGCGGGTAGGATGTGTAAAGGATTTTGTTGTGATTCACTGAATGCTCATGCAGCCGTAGTCCACAAGAAATTAATTTTGTGGTTAGGTTATGTGCTGTGCAATATAGAAATTAAAAATCCAAAGGGAGGTAAGAAAGACATCAAAAGGAATCGCCTCATGCCAAGGTCATTCTGTTCATGCCATTTGAAAATAGAAGGTGCATATTATGAATTTAAAATTAATGAATTCATTTGGAGCAAAYATGGACTTAGCTCAGAATTACTTAGATTCCAGTTCTATTGACTTTTTTAGTCTATTTAACACCATTCAGGTCGTGAATCCCCTTCAGCCTTCAATCCTTTTATTTCTAATTTCTGTTGGTGCTGACAATGCTAGAGACTCATGTTCTAGTAAGGAACCTCAGCAGAGRTTAGTGGTCGTGGCCATCACCAAGCAAACTATAAACACCAATAAAGTCATATAAAGTGTTTTTTTGGTTTGTTGTTGTTTTTGATAATAACTAGCACTCTGGCGTTTTTCTCTAGTAGAGTGATCATGTAGTTGCATGTGTTACCAGCATTACAGGCCATATAGCAGGTGGGATGTACTAGGAGAAGAAACAAATTCCGTGGTCCTTGTGCTGAGCTCCATAGTCAGAAGACTAAGAAGAAAAACAGGAGACTGAAGCATTTGCCCTGGGCTCTATTCTCTGCTAATAGCTATAAAAAGAATATAACATATCAGAATGTCTAATAATACTTGGCAGCCGTGTTGCTATGTGCAACTTGACTTGCACCGCTTCTTCTTAACATGCCCCATGGCTGCATCTGAGCAGAGAGAAAAGCCAGGGTGTCATTCAGTAAAGCTATCACTAGCAAGAACTACTGCTTATTGCTTGCTTCATCATCCAGTTGGCTTTTCTAAGCTCACAGTAATTGACTGGTAATATTAACTGTATTTATTGACTACTACAGAAGAAAGTGATAGAAAATGATTTTTCCTTTAAAATACTTTTTTTTWAAATATCTGGGTTTACTTAAACGTGAAAAATTGGAATAGGAAAACCATAATTGCATGCACAGTGCCCCAGGTGCAGTAAGCCTGTTGTTGTTGTTTTAATGTCCCCAAGCCTATCTTGAATTGCAAAGCACACAGAATTTTATTCCCTGATTGAAACAGAGTCAGAATAATAAACCTAGATGAAAATTGTCTAATCTGGGCCCACTAATCACACAGGACAAGTCTAGTCAACTGAAGGTAGAAAGAACACAATGCAGATTTTGTTTTTCATAATGAAGTTCAATTTGTGATCGGAGATACTTTATTTTAAAAGCTGGCACTTCCTTTTCAGCTTGCTCATCTTTCTAATTATTTTAGTGACTTTCTATTTTTTTTGTATCAGTGTCCATTTTAGAAATTAAAGTCATCTTTCATGAGAAGAATATTATTTCTAGAGTTGATTTTAAAAAATAGTTTATTGAATTTAAATGGCAATGTATGCAGTAAGCTGGAAGTGATACTTCTATGCAGTGGTACATTCAGTGTAAATAGCTGTAGGCACATGTCTGCATAGAGGA